CATTTTCTACAGTCTGCCTCATCAGGATGAGGAAGTTAGTGAGGCCTTCTTCAGACAGCTTAAAGTAGTCTCAGGATTACAGGCATTGGTTCTCATGGGGTACTTCAATCACTCATATTTGCTGGAAAACCAACAGTACCATGCACACACAGCCCAGGAAGATTCTGCGGTATATGGAAGATAACTTTCTGAAGCAGTTAGTGGAAGAATCAGAGAGAAGAGGTGTGCTGCTGGATCTTGTTCTTACAAAAAGGATTGACTGGCTGGGGAAAGTGAAAAGTTTGTGGCAGTCTTGGATGCAGTGATGATGAGATAGTGGAGTTCAGGATCTTACATGTGAGAAACAGGGCAATGAGCAGGACTGCAACTCCAGACTTCAGGAGAGCCAACTCTGTCCTCTTCAAGGACCAAACTTGCAGCTCTCAAGTTAGAGCATTGGAAGGTAAGGGAGACCAAGAGAGATAGTTGACATTCAAGCACCACTTCTTTGAATCCCAATTGGATGCACCCGCAAGTGCTCAGGGAGATGGCAGAAGTGACTGCCAAGCCATTCCCTATCATCTTTGAAAGGTTATGAAGAAAGGTCATTGTGTCCAGTTCTGGGCTCCCCAGTTCAAAAAAGACTGGGATCTCCTAAAAGGAGGCCAGTAGAGGGCTACAAACATGATAAAGGGACGAGAGCATCTCCCATATGAAGAAAGTCTTTTTGTCCTGGGAAAAAGACTGAGGGGAGATCTGATTAATGTTTATAAACATCTAAAGGGAGGTGAAAGGCAAATGAATGAGGCCAGGCTTTTCTTGGTGGTGTGTAGCAATAGGATAAGAAGTGATGTCCTAAAACTAGAAGAAGTCCCATACCAACAAGTGGAAGAAGACCTTTATGGTAAGGATGACAGAGCACTGGAACAGGCTGCCAAAAGAGGTTGTGAAGTCTCCTTCTGTGGAGATATTCAAGACCCATCTGGACACCAACCTGTGGGACCTATTGTACCTGCTTTAGCAGGGGAGTTGGACTTGACCAGGTTAATCTCTTGAAGTCTCTTCTGACCCCTGCAATTCTGTGAGAATATGAGAGGTGCTTGAGGGCTTAAGGAAAGCCATTTCCACTCCAGTCTCCAAAAAAGGCAAGAAGGAGAAGGATAGTGATCAAAAGATTTCAAAGACTGAGTGCTCTCATACACATGAGAGTATATGTATAAATAAATATAAGCAGTTTATGAAGTCTGTGACTCTGCCAATAAGGCCATAGTATATCTAGATACTTTCCATTTTTTCATGCTTATCCTTTTGGTAAACAGTAAAGAGCAATGAAAATTGCTTTCTAAAATGAGAGAGGCGCAGATATTCAAAAGGCAGTGCCAAAGACACCTGTATAACTCAATCCTCCGCTCACTATCATGTTGTACTTTGTCACATACAACACAAAAACACTTCCAAGAAACTGAAACAAAGTAAACGCATGTGCATTTTAGGGAAGACTAGGGAAGATCTTGACAGACCAGAGCTTTGTGAATTGGATCTTAGCCTACATCCTATTGGAGCTTCAAAATCACACACAGTCTGTGAGTGATCATCACACTCAGGATGTAACGCTTCCGTTCTCTCACCTTTTATTGACCTGTTCTTTTTAGATAGCAAACTATCCAGAGTAAGATCAATAATTGTACTTGCATCCCTACATGTGCTTACAAAAAAAATAAGCAAAAGCCCATTCACGCAGATATATAGATACACATTATTTAGAGATAGATATGTGTATATATAAACATTTTTATCTATCTATAAAGTATAGTATCTAGGATAAAAAGAATTCCTTGTCAAAAGAAACCAACAGCTTTTTGGTGATACTGTATTACACACAACAAAAAACAACATATCTTGGCATTTTGAAAAGGATGCCCTTTTCATGTATGCTCCACCTTTTCTGTCTCTAGCAAGTAGGCCTGCAAAAGGGCTTTGATTATGTTTCTGATATATATTTTGTATGATTTTTGAGAATGGCTAAACAAAGCTCAGTCATCACATCCTCTTAATAAAGTGAAAAGATACCCAGAGAAAAAGAAGACTACTTTCATACAAGTTATTTACAGTTGGAGGTCATTGATTTCACTTCATCTAAATTCAACCACTATGTTTTTCATCTTGAAATAATTATTACAAAAAAAATATATATATATATATGTTTTTATAATTCTTTTTATCATTTAGGTACCCTCACAAAATAGCAAATTATACCCTTCAAAATACTGAAGAGTCCAAAATATTACAGGAAACACACACAGAGAGAAAACATTCAATCCACAAAACACTTATCTGCCCCTGAAGCATATGCAGATCTCCTTTTCTGTTGTAATGATATCTTGCTACAAATATTTAGACCAATTAAAATTATTTCAATTTGAGTGGCAGCCCTATCTTCAGTGTTGTTCTAAAACAAATGCCACATTTTCTTCCTTTATAGATTCTTCTTTGATCCCATGAATTTCAGTTACCTATCGTTCTTTGAGTTTTAGACGCCTCCCAACAACAAAACATTGGCAATCCATGCAATAAAATGACTGCTGTTTCTTCTTGTCATGAACAAACATAATAAAACCTCTAACAGCAAATCAATGTCTACACTTTGTAACTAGTGTAATTATGGAAGGAAGAGGCAAGCAAATCAATATTAAGATTATGAGTTCAAGCTTTAGGTTTGTCAGTCATTTCTAATAGCTGTTCATATTTCGCACATTCATAGAGCACTTGTAATAAAACAATTCTCCTTGTAACCTTCTATACAGAACCTACAATTACTTATAAACAATGCACTTCTGAATCCATAAAGTTTTAAGCATTCTCATGGAGAATCACAGGTATCACATCTCACCTGTCCTAAGCCAAGAAAGCTTGGTATAAATAGTGCAGAATTTAAAAGCACTATACAATAAAGATACCAGTGTCTGACAAAACCATTATTTCACTGAGAGGTATGATACTTTCCTCTGAAAGGCAATAAAAAGTAAATTCCACACTGCACTGTACATAAAGAACAGTTACAATGAAAAATTTCTTCTGTGACATCCCATGTTGTTAACAATATAGGCAGATCAAGATAAGTGAGTGGATTTGGATCATCATCAGAAGACACAAGGCCATATTTGCCAGTCTATTATGTCATGTTTCTTGAATTCATGAACCTGAGAGTGCAATATCTTTTCGTTGGCATGATGGAGAAGTTACACTTTATACAGACTCTAAATATACAGTGGAGATAAATGAATTAAAACAGCAACCATATTGTTTCTTTAAAATGTTTTTAAGCAATGTAGCATATGGATAATTTTGAAGCCTACAGCACACAAACCATTAAGAAAATAGCAATGGAAAGCAAACTGGATTGCCAGATGATTTACCTCAAATTAGCCCTTATCTTTGTAAACCAAAACCAAAAGTAGAAGAACACGAGTGAAAAAATAATGCTTTAGAAATTCTTTAAAAGATAAAAGCAGGAAAATCACATGCATTATGTCTGGAATTGACAACTGATTCAAAATGTCATCCTCTCCCAAAAGTGATTTCACCCCATTTGGAAGAACCAAAATACTTAAGCACCAATTACTGTTCACATTTTTCTTCAATCCTTCCCAGCTTTTTGAAAAATTGTTCAAACAGTAATTCTAAGAGAAAATGGTGGCGAGGTTATTAGAAAATGCCACAGTTCCACACACACACACACACACACACAAAACCCATAATAACAATTTTATTATTTGACCAACCCATCATATAAATTAGCTGCATTGATCTAATTGCACTTATCTTTACTTACTAAAAATGTATATAATTTGGCACTTTCAAATCTGTGCCTTCACAATATGCTAATTATACAGTTCAGATGATCTGGAAAGAAATCCATTTTGCACTGATGATATAAGGGAGTGACAGTACAATTTACATTAGGAAATGTTTTCTCATTTTTCTCAAAAATTGGTTTGCACTCAGCCGGAGAAATCTAAATTCGACCAACAGGCATCCCTCCCTGTTCTCCATGGTTACAAAATAACATGACAATCTGAACGATGAACAAGAAGCACATAAGAATGGGTTACGAAACTACTCTGGACACAGGTAGACAGGCAGTCAATGTTTTCTTCTGTAATCTGATTAAATAGATTATTATTATATAGAACAGTATTGAAATGCTAGTAGCAAACAATTGCCAGTGACAATACTTGAAACATTTTGAATCTGCTGTTCCAAATGCTGAATACGGGGGCAGCTGGTCACTTCACATTCCTTACTTTAAGTGATGACTGCTAGCTGGAGAGACTACAATAAGGTTTTCCCTTTTGATTTTAGCAACAATATACTACAGGTATGCTTTTGGCAAACATTTACCTGCAGCATTAATATTAACCTGTAAAGACTGAGCTTGAAAAACAGTAATTGCTTTGTTGTGATTTTCTTTCCTGTGTTCAAAGGATAGGGACAGCATCAACTGGAAGACTGCACAGTGAGAAAGCCACCTCTTAGCACATCAGCTACAGACATCTAATTACATGAAATCTGAGGGCTAAAAACAGTCTTGATTTATTCATTTGGTTTTCAGCAATCTTGCCAGATATGTTACCAAAATAATAATAGTAATAATAATAACAAGCCAAAAACATACACATGAGTCAGACTGCTGTGTTTTGGATTTGTGGGGATTTTGTGTGATACACAGTTGTACAGATACAGCTGCACCACTGCTGGAATGTAGCCAGAGCCTACATAATAACAGTCAATCAGTACTAAACCCATACCTATGCACAGCACAGATAAACTTAACTCACTGTAATGATGTACCACAAATAAGACCTATTAGTATTTTCACAGACGTAGTCTAAAATAATCTGTTGTTCTGAAGTACAGATCCAGAGTTATTATATATTAGTGAAAATAGAGGTTGAAACAAAGGAAAAATATCTACAAGGATGGGTAATTTGAGTAAATGATTACACTGTCACAACAACCACTTCTGCAATTTAATTTAATAAAGGATATTTATTTAAATAATTTAGAGTCAAACTATTAAATATTTCCATCAGACAATACTTGGCATTTTAGAAAGAACAGTGCGGGTATAAGAACACCACCTTCAGACAACCATTTTCCAGCTTCTATTTGCATTACAAATGTATTTCTCACAGGAAGGAGTAGAACCTGAACATCAAATTAAAAATAGCATTATTGGGAATCTTACAGAAAGTGTGAAGACAAAAGCATGTAAGCCTGAGGATAGAAAAAATCCATCATAATATAATTCTACAAAATAAAGATGAGGTTAATCTGAAACCTGAGAAAATTAATATCAAGATTTTAATTGACCTCAGCAGGTTTCAGATTAGGCCCTGCATGTTCAACATGATGGCTCCGTGTAATTTTGCAGTGTTTCTCAAGAATGTTCACCCCATTACTTCTTAACCTTCTCCCAGTCGTTTTTTGATTTCCATTGAAAACTGAGATGACTGGAATTTATCTCTGCAGTTCCTTCCTCCTTTGCACAAACGTACTGTCAAAGGCATTTCTGGAATATGCAAAAGCTAATTTTAATGATTGCTGTTCTTCTTTAATTTAAAAATAAAGCCATGATGAATGTGAAATTCTGCAGTGATTTTCTCCGAAATATTTTGAGATGACAAATTGTGGTCTCTGCAAAACAAAAATTAAACAGGAAATCAGCGGTCATTTCCAATATACACACTGCATTCATTATGTCAGAACATACCAATCCTTACAATAAGAACCACTCACATAGCATGCCAGTGGAATTGAAGGAATGAAGAACATCACTGTGATCATTTAAAGTTCAATTCCAGCTTTGGAAGTGATGGCATATAGACAATATAAAATTTTCAAGACTATGTTTTGATTTCCAGATAACCAATTTTCAGGCTCTTCTGCTTTTCAGACTCCATAGCTAGGATTCCACTGTAGATATTTTACCAAAATTTTCTGAAGTTTGCTTTTTATGGATAGAAAAAATGTGGGATTTTTGTATTTTTCTCCAGTAGCTTGGAATGCCAATAGCTTAACAGCTACTGACAACTTAATAGCTCTTTCATTCTCACTCTATTCCACTAAATCAGAAAGCCACCCTCTAAAAAGAGTGAATTTGATCAGTATTTCAACCTGAACACTTCACTGTTTCAGGCTTCATAAGCAGAAAACTAGAATGATAAATTAGACTCAGTATATCACGTCTCTGCTCGCTTTCCTGGCACTATCTGCTTGAAGGCAAGAGAAGTCAAAATCTGCCAGTTGCTGTATCATAGTCATTTTAATGATACAAAAGCATGTACTATGAACAAGTTGAGGATAACTCTTCACAGTTGCCTTTGTCTCTCTGTTCCATTTTTTCTTTTATTTTTCTTTTTATGGGAGAGAATCTTAAAACGTTTGCAGAAGTTGAAGAGAGAATAAATTTTTAAGAATATTTAAAATATCTATAATGGAGACCGATGCTAAAGGCAATGTGTTCTAGAGAAAGTACAAGCATCTGATGTACCCCTGTTTGTATGGTTATGGTCTCATGATTCAGGCATTTGACACTGCGTACCTGAGAATTTCAGCATCTGTTCATGCAGCCTTGACTGCTCCCTTGCATTAGGTCTGTGAAACAGAACAAGGGAAAAAAATTCAATTCCCAAAAATACAAAATCTGTGTCACCTGTATTCAACACCAAAATGTGACACTGTACGAACACATATATGCAAATGATTACCTGATTTCTGCTGTCCAGTTCCAGAAATGCAGGCTGCTGTCAGTTTTCTACCTAATACCACTTAGGCATTTCTGCTGCACTACTGGCAGCTTCAGATAGAAGAATATCTGATGTGCAGGACTCCATCAAGTGAAATTCCAATTTGTCCTTTTTATCTCATGATTGTTGGACTCTGAACAAGTAATAATACAAAATATCTCTCACCTGCAAATGATTTACAATAACATAATCAATAATGTATTTGCTGTGATCCAATTTACTGTGCAAGAAAGTAGCTTTTGACATGAGGGTATATTTTAAAGGAAGAAATTCCAGTCTTTATACTACCGTCTTTATACTTTATACAGTCTTTATACTTTTATACTACCGCCTTCTCCCCTTTCACATATGTTTACATTCATAACAATTACACCAAGGCAACACTATTCAGTTTTACAAAACTCATCCACTACAACCCATTGCACACAACAGAACATTTTCTAGTGATCTGCCCTAGAGCTTTAAGGTTTATACTGTTGCATTGGACTTCACTTTCCACTGGAAGAAAGTTGCTACCAATTATTTTACCTTCCCCACTCTGCAGACATTTTGCATATAATGACATTTCTGAGGCATCAAGTCCTTTTTCTGAAGTCAATAAATGTAGAACTGCACTGCGTTTTGGACTTGCAGCTTGAAGAAGGGAAAAAAGAAGCTGGGTAAATGAATGCTGGCCAAAGGACTGAATCAAATCACTCTAAATTCATGATCTAAAGTGTAATAATGGACAGTTACCAACAGTTAGACAGTGTAGGAAACTTGCTATTCCACCAAAACATGTTCACATATCTGAACCCTTAATTCTACATCATAATTTTTCCATACTAAATGACTTTCCTTCTCCTGAGCTGCACATTATTAATTAGCGAACATAATTATGTTGTAAATCAGATTATCTGTTGGAAAAAATAGAGAGAAGGTGGGCCAGAAAGGGGGGAAGAGAAGGGTTACATGGGCTATTTATGTACCCATGTATTACACACATAATGTGAAAGGAAGTGTAGGAGAAAAAAAGAAGGAGCAACTTTCTGGGGCTTCCCAGTGACTTTTCCTTTCTCTTTATTGGAAGTGTGTTCACATGCTCAAGGCTATGTAAGATAGGCAATGTAGGAGTAAAAGCTGCTGGTGCCTCCATTTCCTTCAATGAACCCTTCTCTTTTTACCTCATTTGATACTGTGTGTACCTTCAAGCAAAAATGTTCTTTCTATCAAACCATCTTAGTGTTACAAGTGCAAAACTAATTTACACAATACAACAGAAGTTCATTTTAACTATACAGAATGAGAGCGTCCTTTTTTTCTTTTTTTTTTTTTTCTCTTTTTTTTTTTTTTTTTTTTTTTACAAGGGCCTTCTGGTTTTCCTCTTAGACCTTTCTTTTTGTTTCCACAAGACAGTATCAGCGAATCATAAAATTCAGCATTACTGCAATAACTCTAACAGTGCCACAGACTTTGCAACTGAACCACACTTACACACTCCATCTTTCAAGGACACCTACCTCCCTGCTGGCCTTCCAACCTCACAAGGGCCCATGCTCCATCATCACCCAGCTGGAAATCCAGACAGAATGGCTCTTCTCTTTTATAACTTTCTTTGCATCCTATTTCTGAGGCTCCCTTCCTGCACTGCTTCTAGCTTAAGAACTTCCATCCCCTCTACCTACAACTATTTTATAATATGGAAGAGAGCCCCACTACATACAGTCTTATTCCACAGAGCAAACCATCGGTCCTGTGTATGGGACTGAAAGCAAGTTTTATTTATTATAGCTACTTTTTAATGTGAACTTTTTCTAAGGCAAAGGTAGTTGAGGAGCTGATTGGCCACAAGCTTCTTTGTCAGGGGACAATACTGATCATACTGCATACCATTATTTTTTTTTTTAAACCTTTTTTTAAAGTTTCCTCCATTGTATTAACATTTGATATCGAAGTATGAAAGTAAAATGCAATTCAGCAATTGTGGCCACTTGACAGCAAACAGATTAAAAAAAAAAACAACTAAAAAATACCTGTACTTGTGAGCAGGTAAAGTAGGAACAAGCATCTTGACTTTGCCTTACTCAAAAGTGTCCTCAACACAGTCTGTAACTGTTATGCACTTTTCCAAACTATTTAAAAATAATGTAAGTCCCAAGCCCAAATTATTTAAAGTGTATATTCATTGATTAATATTTGCATGCACTGCATAATTTCCTGTATTCAAGAAAAACAAAACTACTTTTGCATAGCAATGGGAGTATTGGGTATGCCGATCATTTCCACTGACCATTCCAACTCAAATAAAAATTCAATTACAAAGTAATCTTATAGTTTCAACTAATAAAAATGTAAAAGTAATTTTAAACCAAGAGCTTTTCTTGAGTTGCACTGTTAATAAAATAAATGTTTTGCATAAAAATATCTTTAACAGTTTTCCAAATGCAACAGATGGCTGTGCCTTCTCTTGTAAAACACGAAAACAGTGTTATGCACTTCACAAACAGTCCACACGTAAGCTTTTGTTTCAGGAGATTATGACTAAAGACAACAGATCTTCCAAAAGCCATGTGACATGTAACATCAAATGAACTTCACTTATCTCCAGTTTCAACCCCAGCTGTCACATGTATCACAAAACATTGGTGCTCTTATATTACATCACTTCAAATTTCTCCCAAACGATGATCCAGTCAGCAGAAAACTCTTCTCTAAAATATAAAAAGTCACAGTTGGTTGAAACAGAACATTTACAGGCCAGGCACAGAACACATTCACACATATATGTAGATTTTATCCATGCTGTCATTTGGTATTGGGGCATTTTCACTTAATTAATGGTGTGTGTGTGTTTCTTTTAAATGCTATAGTGACTATTATTGAAGTTCAAGGCTCCAAGTCCTGCAGGGAATGTCACATATCCTCTAGATGTCTCTGGAGATTAATTCTGAGAACATTGTAATTCTGAGCAGGATCCATTGTAAGAAGTCAATCATTACATTAGCATTATAACTTCTCCAATATTTGCTGTGTTGGAAGAAACAAAAGATTTTTCTGCCTGCAGAACTCGAAGCAACTTTACACGCTTTCATTAAGCTACTACTTTCTCCAAGATGCATTCCCATCTAGAAATTTACCTCTACATTTTAGCAATAGTATAGTATGCACTTTTATAAACATTTCAGCAACTAACAACAATATTCTGCAGTTACCCAGTATCCTTACATATACCACCACTGGAAACTAGAGATGTGGGCCAAATCTGCCGGGTGGGACATTCTCGGTGGGAATTTTGCTTACAAAGCAAAAAATGTCTTTACAGTTTTTTCAGTACTCTTAGAATCATTATAGTAGTAAATCTCAAAATACAAATTGACACATACTTTGAACACTTTATTTTATGGTGCTTACTATCACAGTCATGGAAGCAGACAAGTATTTTGTGGTAATACGTCCTCTGGTTTTGTAAGTGGTTGTCCCTTTGTATCAGAGCAACAGCTCACACAGACGAAATATAGCCTATACATGCAAGCTTACTGGTAGTTTGTAGAGAAAAAGGCAAATTTTATCCAAAGCCGGTGGAATCCCTTTGCATGGACGTCAGCTGGCTCAGAACAGCCACACTGGAAACAGCCCCAAACAATGCGCCCGCATTCACACAGACGTCCCCAGCGGAGCACTGCCAGTGTGCTGTGGAAACGTGTTTTGGGAACCATTCTTTGGGCAGATGGCAGGCAAAAACTTAAATGAACATGCTTCCCCAAGAAGAACATGCAGATCTGCACTTTCGCAAGCTGGAAATGTTACAGAAAGTTATTTAATTGCAGGAATAGAAATGTCACACATTGTATCAAACACAAATCTGTACTTACTGAAAATAACTTAGTACTCTAGAGAGGTTCAACTGCTCTTCAGTGCTTTTGGTCTTCAACAATCAGTAGACACATTCGTTTATAATTTTCTTATTTAAAAACGCATCAGAAGCAGTGAATGTGGTCAGTGTTAAAACCAAACATGACGAGTGAAGATGGCACACTGCCCTTGGCCAAGAGGAAGAGTCTGTGTGGCACAGTATAATAGTTACTAGTTAATTTATATGAGCCTTAGAAGAAAAATTAATTCGCTGATGTTTTTAGCAACCTTGGTGCTTCTCCTGAAGTGTAAGTAGGGAGAAAAGAAAGAATAAAAAAGACACCTTTTGATGAGAGATTATGTAGTCTCCACAATCGAGTAAATTTAGTTGCTGTTGCAGCAGAGGAATGTGATAGGAAATTTTACAGTTGAAGGAGAAATGTCACAGTATTTTGATAAGAGAACGATGAACTTTTTTTCCCTTGTGCCATTATCAAGGCGAAGTGAACAAAATACATCATTTATAACCCACTGCTCTACCATTATCTCCTGGTGAGACACTTGTTTTAAAACACACAAGGACCTTTTTTTCTCTAAGACTAAAGCTCTCTGTGAGGCTCCGTCTGCCTTTATAGCCATGAAAGAAAGTTGACACTTGTGTGGGCCAAAGTTTCCAGGCAACCACACAAGGGCACTTGTGCACCCTCCAGGTCACCACCAGTTCTGAAGTACAGAGGAAGCGTATGAACAGCGCACGTCCCTTTGATCACAGATACCATCAAAAACTGATGTGTAGAGAAAATCCTGCACTTGGGAAGAAAGTCACTACAGTCTGCTTGTGGCTTTCTCTTACCTAACTACACAGAAAGTAAAGGTTAGCGTGTTAGCGCAAAACTGCTAAAATAATTTCTCTGACTAGTCCCTCAGTCTCTCCTTCTCCAAGGTATTCCTGAACTCTTTTATTCTGTTCTTTTTACTGTTCATTTCCAACATGACAGCATGGCTGTTTTGCTGTAGAACGCTCATTCAGCAAACCTACTCTCAAGCATGCAGTTATGTACCAGCAAATGTGTAGCAGAAAAAAAACAGTGGTGGGGTTTCAAGCACAGGTAATTTTATAGACCCAAGCAAAATTCCACACTACTTCCAGTCACACGACGTGAACAGTGATCATAAAACAGACCTTTTAAGTTTATGTTGAACAACACAGAACATAGGTGTACTCCGAGTCCGCTGCTATCTAGTACAATCACTGTCTGTTCTAATAAAATTACACTGGTCATAAGACCAAGTGATCAGATGATAAAAGTGTACAATTTTCTAGAGACCTTTAATCAGTCCTCAGATTGTTTATTTGTCTTGTGGTAAGGAAGTCAGAGTTAGTAATGAGAAAACAATTAACTTATTTTATAAAAACAAATGAAAAAATTGTTTCCAACAATGCCAGATGAATTTACCATACACCTCAGGTTATTTTGCTACTCCTACATGCAATGTGTTTAACAGCTAAAATGCTTTATCTTGACTGTTAACACTGGTGCATTTGCTGAGTCAAAGAGGAAATAGACAGATTATGTGAACAAGGAGAACTCTAATAACAAAATAAAATGAAAAGTTGTTTATATTAAAAACATCCCACATTAACTTCTAATTAAAAAAAAAAAAAAAAGAAAAGAAAAAAAGAAAAAACAAGCAACAAGTCTAATTATAACAAAACTTACTGCTTCAAGATAATTTCTCGATGCAGGAACACAGGATATATGTTTATGTAAATACTTATCAAATTACAGCAGAAGGTAACAGAACTTGAACTAATGGTCATAAGTTTGTGCAAGTAGAAAGTGAAACAGAAAGCTATACATTTTAATTTCCAAGTTACTGGGAGACATATTCACAACCAAGTATATCAAAAGGATCCCCAAAACAAAAACGCACTACTATTTTCTTACTTCTTATTCATTTCTACTTAAGTTAAAAATGGACAGGCAAGGTTGTTTCTTTCCATTATTAAGGGAACATTCCAAAACTCCTGAACATTTTCATTTAGATAAAATTCCAGTTACTTATGTTCTGATTAATATATGCAAAAGCTTGGATCATAACTTAATTATGAAGATTAAGAAATATATTAATAAACCAAATTCAGGAAGAATCTGTATGGAGATGCATGCTATTACCATATAAATATTCATGTTCCTCATTGCACAACTCAAAAAAACATTTATTTTAATTGTAAGACATTTAAAATGTTTTGATGGATTATGCAATATTTCTCCTCCTGTTGTAGAAACACTGTCAGACTCATTTAGATGGACAGATGTTTGCAGCAAGAGAGCTTATTTATAATTCAAGACACCCAGGACTCTGAAATAAATGAGTTTTAGTGATACATTCTCTCCAAGCTTTAATATAAGGCTTATGATTTAATTGCCACACTCCAAAGCTAGGGGGCAGGTCAGCCTATTACCAAGCTCTTATATTTAACTTTGGTGGAGAGTGATCGGTCTTAGACCAACATGGTCTCTCAAAACAGGATGATAAGTTAATTTCACAGTTATCACAAAATAACATATGATATTAGGTGGTAGCGACATGATAACTCCACTGGAAACAATGGTAATTACATAGTAAATCGTGTCAATGATACTGCATTATCTCCTAACTGTTCAATTAACTCATTTCACCATTGCATACTATGTTTAGAAAGTTGCTGATGCAATATTTCCGTATCATAATTGCAAAAAGATAGTTGAACAAGATAACACGCTATAATTTTAGAAAGTTTCTAGTATTACTTGCTAAAACTATTTCTGCTATGAAAAACAAACAAACCTTAAGGTGAAGGAGACCTGCAAACGTGGAAGATACCACTTGAAATGGAAATAGGTTGGCAAGACAGTCGTCAAACTAATTATTTTTTCTTCTTCCATGCAGGAAATGAGACATTAATTCATAAATCTAATTCCTATAGGTAGGTATTGATCCAGCCAAATGGTAAAAGCCCTCAGCCATCATTAAAACAAGTATAAATTAAATCCTTGAAAAATGTAACTTTTCCTATGCTGTGCAGACAATCTGATAAATGTGGATAAGTTTACAAAGTAAGGGAAACACTTAAATTACAAAATAGCAAAAAAGATAGGAACAAACTGAACTTTTCGCTAACTCAGAATGCTGCATCTTCACCACTGGCAGAACAGGCTATCTCACCTTCACCCATACAAATCAAAAGAGCAGCGAGGTGACATAAAATGGAATAAAATGCTGCCTGAACTATTTACATTGTTATTCCCTTTCAATAATCAAGACTGCAGATACGATTTTCTTTGGATGGTTTCCTGTCTTGTTTATACATACACCACTGCTCTGTAGTTTGAGCTTATTCTTAACCGCTATTTTTGTGAGTACAGAATTAAATCAACAGCTGGTAAAAATCAGAGTTACAGATAGTTTGAAGCCGAGGCATATTAAAGGTAATATACTGACTTACAGTATCTTAAAATAATGCTCAGGAACAGTGCTTTCTATAAATAAATAAATGACCAATACATATGAGTGAATCCCTAAATATATAACAATGCAACAGTTTAAAAATCTGTGTCTGATAGAAATGTTTTCAGTCACAGGCATTTTAGACACAAAGGAATTTCTGAAAATTTCCCAGATTAACTTCAATAGGAAACTGTGGCAATTAAGCATTCTTTAGCTTATGTGGCAACATTTACCTGCAACAGAAATACTTCAGAAGCATGAAGTTGTTTTTGTTGTATTTTTCAATTTTCCTTTGTGACAATAACATTTCATACAGCTTGTTTAGATTTAGAACATCTCTTTCAAGGCCAACTCCACCTACTTTTTCATCTCTGCTCATATTAGTTTTGTGGTTATAAGAATACAAAGGAATCTGCATGATTTTAGTGCATGACTCATTTCCAGCAAATCAACAAACGTACTTTCAATTTGTTATGCATGAGAGATGTGTAAAACTATAGAGGTTTGGGTCTCTGGAGGACAAAATAAGCAAAATATTCAAGCATTGTATCTAAATCATAACTGAAGTTAAACTCTAATTTTAACATACAGGCTGTACAGTGAATTCATAAATGCCAGGAAGAATTTTAAAAGCATCAGACAAGATCCTGGGCCTGTCCCCAGCTGTCCTAAAAATCCTGTGCATCCTGGTACAGATTTCATTCTATTAAATGTCCAGCCACATGATACTGAATAGGTACAGCCAGAAATGGCAAGAAAAAGTTGATTATCTTTTTGAAAAAGATGACAGAAGTCCCAACATCATTCTCTGATTTTAGAGTTTGTCACTGCTTGAGAAATTCTAATTCCAGTTACCTTATATGATGCAGTTTATGCAACCTTGCTGTTACACAGCATATTACAGAGATGCCTGAAGAAACCAGCCTGTGCTCCATACAGTGGAAGCAGTGCTTCCACTCCGCATTCCCAGTAGCTTCCTTTCTCCAAAAAGACACCACTCATCTCTACTTTCTGGGCCTTCCCTGTTGATTCTCTTGATGTGATGGATGACAGACTAGAAAATTATTGGCAGACAAGGAAATAAAATAAAGCCTACAACCCAGCCAAAACCTCTTCCAAAACAGGGAAGTCAATAAGGTATGGAAACGATTACCCAAAACTCAATCTCTTCCATGATAACTAAGCAGCTGAATTTATAACATTCCTGGTCTTACGTCCATCAAGTCATGAGATATGAGTACAAATATAAAAGGAAGAGAAACCAGCAAGAGTAAATACACCAAAGAAAAATCAACAAATAACTCACAAAAACTCAGCACACACGCACACATAAAACGAACTGCGAAAAGACAAACAAGGTACATTTGCCAGCTGAAAAAACAGAACAATGCAGTGGGTGAACCCCATGCTGCTCCATATCACATCTTCGTTGGTTTAAAATGTTTATAATGTACTTATATTTCTCAGGTTGGTGTATCTCTCAATATATAGTTACACTTTCTGAAACCAGACTGAATTGAAAAAAAAACCCACAAATCAGACAATCATGATGTGGTTCCCTCCTTTGCCAAGCTCTGAACCTTGCAAAACAGATAAAAACAATGCTGAAATTAAAAAATACATGCTTTTACTGTTTGGTTAGTGTGTTTTGTTTTTGTTTTTTTTTTTTGGCTTCCAGCATCCTCCATAGAACTTTGAGAAACAAGACATTTCTTCTGAATCAGATATCCATTATCAATTTGGACAGAGAGCGTCTGAACCAGTATTATCTGCAAATGATTTATGAGGGCAGGTATTTCTCTACCTGAACGTTTTAGTGAAACCATAAATATCAGTAAAGACAGGAGCTGGGATTCAACAAAAAAGCCCTGAAAAATATTTTACATGGGAAGCTACTCTCATCTGATGAAAATTTTAATTCATCTTTTATATATTTTAAAGATTTTTGATGTCAGCCAAATCTGTCCTCCTTTCTTACTTACATTTTAAATTACCGCTGTACTTAGCTATTAATGAAACCTACTGAACTAAACCAACTGATCAGTTGATCTTAAAAAAGAATGCGTCAGAACCTGAAATGTTGCCCAGAAGAAAAGATTACATTCAATACCAGCTTCATAAAACCAAATCATTTAGAATAGTTTATGAAGAATATCCTCAAAATCCTAGTAGAAGCAGTATTTCCTTTTTCTTTATATAAACTATAACATATTAAGCTTCGGTAAGACATTTAACTTTAGGAGTCATCCATCTCCCCATCTCTAAAATGGTGTTGGTAATTCTTTCTCATGTCTGCAGAAGAATGGCTTTATGCAACAGCACTGTGTGGAGTATCTACCTTAAGAAGAACTGGGCATATCCAGCTGCTTTGCTTTTTTTTTCCAGACTCAATGCGTTCAGAGCTCAAGATTACATTGGAAGCACTATACAGCGTTATTAACACAAAAATTCAAAACCAATTTAATGACCGTTTTGATATATATTAGATTATTATTCCTTTCCAGCATGGTCTATTTTATGCAAAAGCTAAACAGAAGAAAACACCACATTTCTCTGTGGAAATTAATTTTTAATAGTTAATTTCATCTTCTAGATATTCAAGATTTTCTGACCCTCTTTTACAACCTTTACTTATTTCTGTTTATTATTTATATTCAATTATTTTTCAGTTATTATTAAGTTGATAAAAAGATTTTGCTATAAATTAATATGGAATGGTACCATAAATACGTTAAGCCAAACTAAATGGTATAAAAAAGCATGTATTTACTAAAATTCCATTGTTAACATAGAAATTTACATGTATACATTTCAATACTCTACTTTCATTTGTACATTTAGATAGTGATGTAACAGTAAACTGTGATGTATATGTGCTGGATTATATTCTGTATTTACAGTTCTAATAATGTATATATTAACTGTGCTTTTTACCAGAAGATTAAAAGGTATTGGAAACATAAAACTGAATAAAGTATCATGTCTTCCTATTTAAGATAGCAAGGTAATATTACCCTTCTCTCACAGTGAATAAAAGCCACATACAAAACCTCTTGAACAGCCTCTAAGATTTGGACAGCTGGGGCTGGGCTTGATTTTAGAATTGGATTTCTGGTGTATTTCTTACTCAGCATTGAAGGACATTACCTGTGAAAA